GAGAGCGGCGCGGGGAGGGGGCGGGGCGCAGACCCCGCGGACGGCGGCTTCGCCTCGGGATTTGGGCTCCGCCTCCGAAGGCCCACCTGTGTGGTCAGGATAGGCATCTCAGCATGTCCGAGCTTCAGTCTTCTCATGCGCATAAGAGGAACAATAACCACGTTAAATGATTGTCCGGAAGGTATAATGAGAGAAAATACGTGTAGCTTTTAATGAGGCGCTTGGCAAGTAATGAGTGCTCAATAAACGCTAGATGTGTATTGTTACAGAAAAGACTTCTAAGTTAGGGGCCCGTGACAGGTGAAGCAGTCATTCCCGGGCCCGAGCCTTGCAAATTGCTCTCTACAAACAGGTTATAATCTCCATCTTTCTTTTGAGGGAGAACTAGACTCCATATATAAACTTCTAACCACTTTGGTTTGTTTTATCAAATGTAAAAGGGGTGCACAAGGGGATTGGGATGAAATTTATAAGAGTGTAGTGTGAACTGAGGTTTCTAATTTTTGGGTGCTTAAACCAGGCCTTTGTGTTGTCCTTGTTCTGTTCACACCCATACGCTGTCCCCAGGGCCACAGTTCTCTTCTTCAGACAAACTAAGAAACAGGAGTGTGGAAGTGTTGAGAGTTTCAAACCACATTGGTCAATATTTTGAGCTTGAAGAAAGACCTACTGTATTGTCAGTTTAGGACACCATCAATTGTATGATACATTCCAGTTTCATAGATATTAAACTGAAAAATATTTTTTAACAAAAGGTAATAGTCACAACCATCTGTATCACATGACTTTTAAATGAGTTACTTCTTTTTAAATTGAACAACTCCTCGGGCTTCTAACCTGTGGTATTGTCAACGTAAGAAACATTCAAGCCTGTAGAGAGAATTTCTGTGAGTTTATTTGAGCCACACTGATGATGACAATTGCTGGGAAGCAAAATCTCAACGGTTTGAGAAAATGCTCTTGAAAAATGGCAGTTTTGCACCCTATTTTCTACATTACAATCAAGAGGAGATGTAAGTGGATTACGTGAAACCCACTGGTGAAAGATTAGGGAGATGGGAGAAAGCAAAGCGGGGAAACCTCTGGAATCGGATGAAAAGTAAAATGATAGACATATACTTCTTTTACATAGGTGAGCACAGGACAGTTAGTCAACAATTAGCACAATAACAGTAACAATGAGGGATTTTGTGGCCTCCACTCTGGTGCAGTACCTATACTTTGAGGGGCCTGGAAAAAGGAATTTACTTTGACATTCCAAAGATATGTTATTGTAGATGTGAAAAAGACAATAGGCTCAATTAGGGTAAAGATTAACTTTTGTCAGGGGAAATTCCAGCCTAGGACATGACTACCCACCATAAACTGCTTTTAGTTAAAAAGTTTTAATTTCAGACCATCCTATGTGGTTACTTTAAGTCTCTGAGTTTGTAAGGCTACCACACAGGCCTCCCCTGAACTTGTCAGTTTTAGTATGTGACCCCTTTTCATTCACAGTGTTTTAAACCAGTGCAACTCCCAATGTGGTCTGCTGACCTGCAGTTTTACCTGAGAACTTGCTAGAAGTGCAGGATATGAGAATGGGGCCCAAGAATTTACATTTTAATAATTCCCAGAGGTTCTTACACACACTGGTGTTTGAGAAGCACTGTTTTGAAGCCCACCCTTGGGATTTCTATGATGGATGTGGCTGGAAGGTAGGATAAAAAGCTTCCAAGAAAGGTTTGAAACTCTGCTCTCTGTACCATTCAGTTTTCTCCTGTCTCTGAATAAGCATTGTTATTTTAACAGTTTAAAAAGACTTGGGTCTTATACTCAACAGGAATCTGTGTCTGTTTTTTTAACCCCCAGGTATAATCTATCACGCCCTCTCTCAGAAAGAGGCAGAAGAGCTTGATGTTCAGGTAGGTGCTTGGCAGGGAATGATGGAGGTGATGGCAGAGGTGGCTTGGTGGCTTCAAAGCCTTTTGTGCTCCTTTCACCCGAGAATATTTTTTCCATTGATTTTTAGAGAGAGTGTAAGAGGGAGAGGGGGAGAGAGAGAGAAACATAGATGTGAGAGAGACACATTGGTTGTCTTCCTCGCGTGCCCCAATTGAGGCCAGGGATTGAACCTGCAACCCAGGTATGTGCCCTTGACCAGAAATCAAACCTGCAACCCTCTAGTGCACAGGGTAACACTAACCACTGAGCAACACCAGCCAGGGCCCTTTCGTGCTGCTTTAGGTGTCCTTTCCCATGTCTCTCTCCTCATCTGCCCAGTACATGTGTTAGGCTCTGCCAAGGCCTATTGTTCTGATGGCCTGTTCCATATGCTTGTCCCCTTTCCCTTCATGCCAAAGTCAGGCTTGGTTACCTGGGACTTCCTGATTTGTGTCATCTCCCACTGTGTGGGGACACAGTGAATAGGTGTCCACCGGGGCAGGTTTCAGGTGGACATAGCCTGGTGTCCCCTTCACCTCCAAAGAGGGCAAGCAAACCACATTTCGTAGGTGAGATTTGTGGATTATGTCTGGTGGCTGCCGCCATGAGTTGCCCATGTGGTGGAAGCTGTGCCGGCGACTCATGAGGAGGGAGACACCTTGAAATCAAGATCTTGAAAGACTGATATTCCAGAGGTTTGGTTTTTTATCATCAGAATAACCTCAGAGAAGCAAGAAGTCAGCCAGAATCTGGCCTGGCTGTCGTTTGACAGCCACAGACTGGCATTTGAATGTGACTTTTGCATCTGGACAGCCCTGGGTGGGGGACACCTGACACATGAGAGGTTGTGGCAGCCTCTGTTGGCGGAGGCAGCCTGCCGGTGGGAAGGCATGGGGTCCTGGCTGTGCCTGGCAGAGCAGTGATTCCCCCCCCCCGCCCCACACAGCGCCCAGGAGCCCCACGGGCCGAGGCCTTCGTGCAGGCCTTCCTGAAGCGCAGCACGCCCCACATGAGCCCTGAGGCCCGCAAGGACCAGCTGCAGCGCAAGGCCGTGGTGCTGGAGTACTTCCCTCGCCGGAAACAGAAGGAAAAGAAGAAGAAACCCAGGGGCCTCTCTGCCCGGCAGAGGAGGGAGCTGCGGCTCTTTGACATTAAGCCAGAGCAGCAGAGGTACCGGGCTTCCTGCTTCCTGCCACCTTCCCCAGGGGTCTGAGTGCCCAGTCTGGGTGTGAACTTGGGAAGCCTCTCCCACTTCTGCCACCAGGGGGCAGCCTTCCTTTACCAATGGGCCTGGGTTTGGATTTGGGTTTGGCTTTTAATAGTGAGGCTGGTGAGACTGGCTGGCTTCTATCCCAGCCCTAACTAATAAGACCGATGCCCATAGTGAGTCTGTTGCCTAGGGCAACAGGCCGTTTGTCTTTCAGCTTTTTTAGAAAAAGAGCAGCTGAGATTTCTTAACATATATCTCTTTATAGCCTTTAATAGCACTAGACAGAATCACCCCCTGGGGATTTATTGCCAAAGAGCTGCCACGTGTTTTGGAAGCCTCCAAGAGGGACACGGTGCTCTGTGGGAGGGCACGCTCCTTCCTCCTGCTGACACTGCACCCTCCTTGGCCACAGCTCTGTGTGCGAGCCTTAGGACTGTTTGTAGACTTTCACTTCAAGATCTGTAGCCAGTAGCTTCCCACATTCGCTAGACAAAGTCTGACTGTCCATGGCCCCTCTTGAGAAATCAGCTGGGCTCTGGGTGCAGGAGAGGCTACTCCCTGCCCAGATGGACTTCGTGGTATCCCCACCGCCAGAACCCACTTCAGGTCTGAGCCTAAGGTTCTCAGTTCTCTCACCCACAGTTCCATGTAAATGGATTCCCCACGAGGTGCCAGGACATGTGACAGTGGCCCCAGAGGAAAGCTGTTGAGGTCCTCTCATCTGCTCCCTCCCATCTGTCCCACCGCTCTCCCACTCCCCTTCCAGGCAGACCTGTCACCTTACCCGGGGTCCTGTATGATGACCAGCATCTCCTGGTTAATGTGGGCTCACCTAGTGCAGCTTCCTGAAATGCAGAGCCTCAGAGTAACAGGATTAAACAAGACTAAAGTTTCTCTCATGAAAAGAAGTTCAGATGAGCAATGTGCTGGGCTGGTGTGGCAGGTGGATCTGCAGCCCTCTGGGACCCATGCAGTGTGGCCCTCAGTGTGTCCTGGCTGCTCCAGCATCTCTAGATATTGCCTCATGGTCTCAGATGGCTGCCTAAGCTCCAGCTGTCACAGCAGTGTCCAGCTGGCAGTGAGGATGAAGGGCAAAGGAAGGAGTACTTTCCTCCTCTCATGAGCAGAAACATAGCCTCTAGAGGGTTCTACCAGTGAGGAAACAGGTTTGAGAGGTGGAAGCACCTGAACTGAGACAGGTGACCCCAGGTTGTCCTTGGCATAAAGCCAAGCTCAGTACTTTTATAATCCCAAGTTCTTGATGCCTCACTTTTTACCCCTTTCTGACTTTGTCACAGATACAATCTCTTTCTCCCTCTGCATGAACTCTGGAAACAGTACATCCGGGACTTGTGCAACGGCCTCAAGCCAGACACGTGAGTTGCATTTCTGAAGCCTTGCCCTTTGGGAGAACATAGGCCTTAGGATTGATCACTATAGATGCGGCCTGGGGGCCGGCTTCAGAACTTTGTTGTGTAGACAGTAAGGGCTTTTGTTTGCCCTACAGGCAGCCCCAGACCATCCAGGCCAAGCTGTTAAAGGCAGATCTTCACGGCGCTATTGTTTCAGGTAACATGCCCGAGAGCACATGGCACCCGATGCCCGGCCATCACTCTAGGGCAGCGTTGCATGGTCAGGATATTAGAATGTCCCTTCCATATGGATGTGCCCAGATCAGCAGGGGGACAGAGATGGCTGTAGCTATCCTGGCCAACACTAGTTACCGAACACCCTGTAGACGGTCTTGGTACCCTCTCCACACGGGACCCGACTACTGTCCTGGAGGGCACAGAGGTTGTTGGCATTCACCCACCACTGGCATCCTGAACAGAAAGTCTCTCATCCAGTGCTGTGGTTTCAGATGTCAGCTTTGAGTTGACATCCCCAGGTTGTCAAATCGAGTGCCCACCTTTCCACAGAACGTGGCCTCCTGCATGTCCGAAAGGTCACACATCCAGACAGAGCCCGGGCCCCTCCTCGGGTCAGCACCCCCCCAGTTGTCCCCACCACCGCTCATAGTGCACTGTTCACCCTGGCTGTTCAGGCAAAAGCCTGGGAGGTGTCCACCTGTCTTCTTTCCTAACCCCCCCTCCCCCAGTCCTCCAGCATGTGCTAGCACCTGAATCTGAGCCACCACCATCCCCTGGACCACGCAGAAGCTGCTGACCCCCTTCCTGCTGACACACTGCTCCCCCGACTGCTCTGAGGGCTCCTCAGAGGCCCTTGGGCCCCAGGTCTGGCCACACTGGCCTGCGCTCTGCCTCTCACACAAGCAGGCTCAGGGCTGCACGGGGGCCTTTCCCTCTGCTCCTCCCCTCTGCCCGGCGACTTCTGTGTTCATGGAGTGACTCCTCATTCAGGTCCCTTTCAGATGTCACTTCCCCAAGGTCTGCCATCACCACAGGTGCCCCCATTACCCTGACCTTACTTTCTCCATCCACTGTCAGACCAGAAAACAGCTATCTTGTGTGGTGGACCTTCCCCGCCCTCCTCCTCCCCCTGATTAGGACATCAGCTCTGTGAGAGCAGCAGCCAGGACTGTCCTGTTCACTGCCGTGCCCAGCACCTGCGTAGGGCACACAGCAGGTGCTCAGTGAATGTCTGTTGCTATGCTGGGGTGGGGTCAAATGAGGAGCCTGCTGCTGGTAGTGACGCTCATGTCACTCATGGCCAGGCAGCCTGTAGCAGGATCCCATTCTAGCCAGAGCTGGGCAGTCATGGGAAGACATGAGGGATGGTGTTCATTCAGATCCTAGATGTGGCACGGCCCTGTCCAAACCTGACTGTCGGCCTTGGTGCAGGACACACGTGTGACCTCTTGCCTCCCAAATCCTGCCTAAACCCCCGGCCTGTGGGTCCCCAGAGGACATGTTGTTGGGCTGTGCAAAGGCACCGGTGTGGGCTGGGTGTGGAGTCCTCGTGCTGCTGGTGGCTGCCCTCGTGATCCTTCCTCTGTGGCTCAGCCGGGCTGGCTGCAGCTCCAGCACCGTGGAGGCCTGAGCTGGAACTGCCTTCTTCCTTTGCAGTTACAAAATCTAAATGCCCCTCCTACGTGGGTGTCACAGGGATCCTTCTACAGGAAACCAAGCACGTTTTCAAAATCATCACCAAAGAAGACCGCCTGAAAGGTTCGTGACTATCTCTAAGGGTGCTGTGGGGTGTGGCCTTCCCCGGCCCTGTCACCAGCCTTCCCTCGTGTGTCTAAGGGCCTTGAGCAGCACAGGTTCCAGGGACCAGTAGAGACCAGAGCTGCCCTGTGGCTCAGCCAGTGCCTCCCGGAGGAATGCAGCTGAACACATAACAGGCAGGAAGCCGAGGCAACACCTGCCTCTGGCCGAGGAACTGCACCCTTGGCCTTGAGCCTGTCACTTCCCAGAGGCCTGTGAGCTCCCCGCCCACCTGCTGGGGCTCCTGCTCAGCGGATGGATGGGCGGGCGTGAGCAGCTCCTGGACTCAGGAAGTTCAAAACCACGCCTGGAGGCCTGGTTCCTCTCAGTTCTGAGCTGCTCTGGCTGCTGCTGCCCATCTCCTTGCAGATTCTTTCGCTCTGGTTTTAACCTCAGAGCGTGGTCACAGGTTTCCCACTGAGCGCGAGCCGGGAGCCCCTCTGGGCTGTGTAGGAAGACCTGGCTCTACATTTTCCTGGGAGTTCCCAGTTCTGAGAGGTTGGCTCTTAGCCTTTAGCCCTGAAAGTCAGGTGCTGAGTTATATTTAGGATATGACTAACTGGCCTGTGGCAGAGTGACCCCTGCAAGCCCTGCTGGTGCCCGCGGGCCCTATTTTCCTGTGAGTTTATTTCTACTGGCACCATGGGAACGACACTTTGTGGAGTGAGCCTGCCAGGATTTTTCCTCTCCCTGTCCCTCCTGCTCGCTTTCAGTGATCCCCAAGCTGAACTGCGTGTTCTCCATGGAAACCGACGGCTTCATTTCCTACATTTACGGGAGCAAATTCCAGCTTCGGTCAAGTGAGCGGTCTGCAAAGAAGTTCAAAGCGAAAGGAACCATTGACCTGTGAGCGTTTGCTGCCCAAGGCAGCACCGATGAAGCGGAAACGCAGGCCCGACACCCAGCTCGTGGAGAGAGGGGCAGGCAGTTCTGTACACACCACCCCAGCCAGGGAGCCAGGGTGGGAACAGTTCATCGCTTGGGAAGAGGCACCTGGCTGAGCGGAGTCCGGGGGGTAGGGCATAGTTCTGGGGGGCGAGTGCTCATCACTCCCAGGGGGAGAAGGGATGGGCAGGAAACACCAGAGCTGCGCTGGTCGAATGGTGGGTGCTGGGTCTTCACTTCTCTTCCTGTGTCTGCATGTTCTGTGAATACTCAGCTGTTTATCTGATAATAAAACCACGTGGAACTTGGGCTCCAGACTGGAGGTGGTTCCTGCAGTGCAGCCAGGTGGGAGGGACAGGCTGTGCTGAGTCAGGCTGTGCTGGGTCAGTGGTGCAGTGTGTCTGGGATACATTCCTTTAAATCATATGCTGCCCAGCTCTGACCTTCCGGCCTCAGAGCCAGGGAAGAGTTAATGGGGATATGGCTGCAGGAGTTAGAATTCAGAGGGGCCACAGGGGAGGGCACAGGTCTAGCTCTGCTTAGTGAGGTTCAAGAACAGGGAGCCTAAACCAGCAGCATTCTCACTCCCAAGTCTGTTTGCTCCAGAGGAAGGAGGGCCACACAGAATGTAGGTCAGGGTTTCTGGAGAGGGGCCTGGGTTCCCACACTGGAACCAACATGGGGCACATGACCACAGCCAGGTCCTGGACTGCAGGTGGACCCCGGGGCTGGGTCCCAGAGAGCTTCACGGTCCTCCGAGACCCCAGCTGGTCCTCTAATCACTGGTGTTTGGGGACCATGGACTCCAGATGGTGTCTACCCTCCTCTAGCTCTGGCATCTGGACTGTGGTCTAAGACTGTGGCCTCTTGGGATGCGCTTTCTGGAAGCCAGGAAAGATTGTCAGATGGCTCGTCTCTCAGGTTCTGAAGAATAAACATGAAGATCCCTGCAAATGCCATAAATTGATGGTAAAAAGCTCTCTTTCTGGACAGCGGCTTTAGTTCTAATTTAGTTTGCATTTCTTAGCTCTAATGCCTAATTAAGACATCTGTTAAATGTCTATAATATTAATTTAATCAAGGGGTTCTAATAGAACTGTATTGGAATTGTCCATTTAATTAACCTCACGGGCCTTTAATGGATGTCTTAAATAGACGTCATTAACAAGAGTGGTAGACAAATTAAAATTAGAGTCAATAACATTCTTGGTAATTTTTCCTGAGCTGTGAAGGGCAAGCATTGCTAAGTAAGCAGATGCAGAGATGGGCTGGAGTGTCAGAGCTGGTGTCCCCAGCGGGCTCAGCCCTGCTGTGTCCTGGTCACTTTACACATAGACAGTGCTGCTCCAGCCAGGAGTGCAGACCTGCCCCTCCATGCCTCCCAGGGAAAGTTTGCCGGCCTGCCCCCTGGACTAAGCTCTGGATGAGGTGAGGTAGTGAGAGGAAGATGGAGGAGACAGCTCCTCACGCAGAGGTGCTCACTACTTACCAGCAGATGTGCAGGTCCTGGGTTCACAGCCCCACCCGATCTTCCACTGAGTCCTGGTGGTTCCCCTCTACCCTTCTCATCTCCCTGGCTCCAGCTCTCGTCCACCCACCCCATCTCCTCGGCTGCAGCCCCTCACCTGCCTCCTGCCCCACTCATGGCACAGCCCGGCCAAGGCCGCCTTGGAGACCCGTAACTCAGGCTGTGCCACGCGCTCTTTTGCCCACACCCACACGTGACTTCCCAGGACCCTTAGAAGTATGGCCAGCTCCTGCCCCAGCCTGCCTCTGTGACCCTGTCTCGCACCCTACCCCAGACCCGTGTCCTGCCACTTCTGCACACCTCTGTTCCACCAGCCACTCCTGCTCGGCCTCTCCCCTGGACCTCCAGCCACAGGCAGCCCCTCCTGGCACCCAGCCCCCCGCCCCAGCTCGGCAGCCCCATGCAGTCCCTCAGACTGGGCCCTCCTGCACTTTCTGCACCACTTAGTACTGAACGGCTGCACCTCCTGTCTGCTGTCCCCCTTCCACGGAGCGTAAGCTCCATGGACACTGGGGCGTGTCTGTCTCGTCACCATCATAACCATGGTAACCTCGGTGTAATCTAGACACAGGCTTGCACACACTGAGTGTTCAGTTAAATATTTGTTGTCTGACTAGAAAAAAGCATTGAGCCCAGGGTGTGGCCTTAGTGGTGGATAAAGGTTGGCACTCACGGCAGCCCTCAAGCTGGCCGGTGACCCCATCCGTTGCAACCTCCCGCCCCCAGTGGCCCGTGACTGCAGGGCCACACCCTACCCTGAGACCCAGGATGCCTGCCCTCCCCTCCACGCTGCAGGCAGCTAGGCAGCTGTCCCAGGTGCCCTGCAGCCCGTGTCACCAGGCCCTTCCCTCCCTCCAGTGCCAGCTTGCCATGCAGCTGTGAGACGGAGAGCCTCCATAGTTGTCCTCTGTGTGACCTTGATGCCGTCTAAGGACATTGGCCCTCAGCCAGGCTGTGCTCGGGGGCTGGTACCTGCTTTGGAGGCTGTACATGGCTCTTCCTGACACCACTCACGGCAGCTCCAGGTACTCCACGGTGGGAGGACTCGGCCCCTGAAAGCTACACCGCCCAGCGGAGCCGCAGCTCCTCCCTCAACACGGCGGCCAGCCCTGTGCACGGGAACGGGACTGTCTCAGCAAAGCCTTCCCACAGGGGCTGTGACTTGAGCTTAAAGGGTTGCCTTTGCCACCTAGGACGGAGGTGACGTCACAGAAGACGTGCTCCATGGCCCGGGAGCCGGGAACGCTACGGTATTTGCTGGCCAGCAGCTGGAAGAATTAACCAGGATGCATTCTTTCTGTGTGCGAGCCCAGCATGGGGAGCCCATTACCTGAAAGTTAAGCATGTCCCCTGCAATCTGATTTCCTAACACCGTGTTGGGTGACCTAATTCCTGTTTCCCAAGAATCGTGGATTTAAAGCAAAGAAACCCGAAGTCCTAAGAAATGAGTGTGTCGCTAACTCATCATGTTAACATCTCAGCCTCTCAAAATCTCGGCTTCTTCTCTGCTCTGGACCTCCAGGGACCAAAAGGCCAGCAATACTGTCACTAGGGTGTGGTCACCACAGACCTGGTCCCCACCCATGTGAGCTCACAATCTAGTGGGTGGCACGGACTGTGAGTGGTAGGGACAAGGTTGTGAGGGCTGCAGGGTGGGCAGGGAGGGTCTGGAGGTGGAGCAGGCTTCCCGGGGGACCTGGGCTGAGGGACTTCAAACTGGAGGCAGGAGGTAAGGCCCAGAGGGGCAGCTTCCAACATCGGGCAGGCCAGCAGGGAGCCAAGGTGGGCCGGGGCTGAGCGAGGGGCTAGAGCCACAGCTGCGAGACCAGCGAGGAGGCCGTGGCCTGGCGGGGTGTTGGCATTAGGGGTGCACAAAACAGGCTTGAGGGGTGCACACAGCTTCCCACAAGCAAGGCTGGCGGGGCCAAGGAGGCAGGAGGCCACAGCTGAGGGCGGGCGGGGAGGCAGGCAGGAAGGAGGGCCCTGGGCAGCCAGAAATGAGGAAGGTGGCAGAGCTGGGCCTGGTGGGGAGCAGGGTGGGCACACCTGCTAGGCAAGCCAGCAGCTGGCTGTGCTACGGTGTCCCCATCCCCACCCCTAAAACATGCATTGTGAGTAAAGCAGGAGAGATAGTTTCCCGTGGGACATCTCCCCAAATACTTGGGAGTTACAACAGTGTGTGGTCTCATCTTCCACACACATGAGACATGTGGCCCATCAGTGTGTCCCCTCCGTGGCAAGCTCCAGATGGGAGCCAGGAATCTGGCCGGTAGTGTCTGAGGACACTGAGGTTACTGCCCCAGGATCGCAGCAGTTGGTCGGTCCCGGGCTAGGCCCCTGTCCCCACCCAGCTTTGGTCCAGAGCGTGAGCACAGCTCCCTTCCCTGGTTGCCCTCACAGGGAGGACGGGACTGGCCTTTGAGAGAAGGGGACCCCTGCCAGCTCCCAGGTCTGGTGGCCTTTGCTGTAGAATTTAAAGACCGCAGTAAGGATTGAATATCCTATTACCTGGCCACCTAATTAATGTAGACGACAGTTACGGCCCGCTCAGCCCGGCAGGTGCTTCCTCAAGGAGGCCCTGCCTGCCCCATGGGCCCCATTCTGGGGGTGTGGATGGTGGCAGCCCCATTCTGGCTCCATCGAATAAAAGGTAAGTCACGGCCCTGAATAGAGAAGACGGGGGGCTAATGGGCCCCTAGAAGTGGCAGCTAAGGCTCCATTCCTCAGATGGAGAGGCACCTCCCCAGGCTCTTTGCTCTCAGACCCATGGGGGTAACTGCTCCCTGAAACCTAAGTGGCCACATTTGCTAGACCTTTGGGTGGAGACACAGGAGGGTTTCTCCCAGCCCCTTTGGGCCCCCTGGTCAGGCCCCGCCTCCCTCCAGCCCCTTCTCATCCCGAGCTAGCCCTGCCCAAAGCTCCAGGTTAGCACAGTCCCAGGCAAACCAGGACCGTCTTTCCTGTTCAATGTCTGGCTCCTTTTAGCTCCTGGGGGGGAGGGACGGACTAAATGCCACCTTCTCAGAGGAGGATAACTGAGTGGCCACTTTGCAGATGGTCACCCTCCCAGGCCCCCTGCTCTGGCCCCTTAGCTGCCCACTGTGACAGCAGCTGTCTGCAGCCCCTTCTCAGGAAGGTTTTCTGCAGATGCTAATGAATGAATGACCCTCACTCGTCCCAGGAAAGGCTGCCTCTTTTTGAAGTGGCTTAGGTCTCTGCTGTTGATTGCAGTCTTCCCAGAGCTGATTTCGGCCTCTCAGCTCTCGTTTCTGAAGTGATGGAGGGGCTGGGAGGAGAGGAAAAGCACTGGGGCCCAGCTCTCCTGCAGGAATTGTAATCTCAGGAGGCAATTTTTTTAGGCAATCAGAATTATAAGGTAGAGAAAATAGCTGTTTTCTTTTCAGTTCAATGTGCAATTTATCCCTGGTTTTTCCCCAAGAGAAGGCACACTCACTTCTGCATAAATCACGCCCCGTCACACAAAAATTTGCCGCTTTTTCTGAGCGGCTTGACTTTATCATGGGAACAAAGTTATTTCTAGAAGTCTCATCCCTGACTTTAAAAAGTGAAGTCGATGGG